TCAAATAATTTTTATTCAAAAATAAACTAGTTATTTGAGTTTATTACTAATTTTCTATTCAAACTACAAAGTTTGTAATTTAAAATATTTTGTGAGATCAGATTGAATTAATTCAAGGTTCTTTTCAATTAATATTAATGACCATATTACGCATTTTCGAACATTCTAAACCAAATATATAAAAATGGGAGACGAATGTTAAATTTGCTAGACATGGGGGAGTTGTCTGCAAAGTTTTAGCTCTTATCTCTAGCAAAAAATTAATTTTTAAAAAAAAGACCGAATACGTTTCACAGCGAGAAAAAAATAAAAGGCAAGATAGAATTTTCTAGACATAAAGAAGTTGTTTACCGAGTTTTAGCTCTTATCTCTAACAAAAAATTAATTTTTAAAAAAAAGACCGAATACGTTTCACAGCGAGAAAAAAATAAAAGGCAAGATAGAATTTTCTAGACATAAAGAAGTTGTTTACCGAGTTTTAGCTCTTATCTCTAACAAAAAATTAATTTTTAAAAAAAAGACCGAATACGTTTCACAGCGAGAAAAAAATAAAAGGCAAGATAGAATTTTCTAGACATAAAGAAGTTGTTTACCGAGTTTTAGCTCTTATCTCTAACAAAAAATTAATTTTTAAAAAAAAGACCGAATACGTTTCACAGCGAGAAAAAAATAAAAGGCAAGATAGAATTTTCTAGACATAAAGAAGTTGTTTACCGAGTTTTAGCTCTTATCTCTAACAAAAAATTAATTTTTAAAAAAAAGACCGAATACGTTTCACAGCGAGAAAAAAATAAAAGGCAAGATAGAATTTTCTAGACATAAAGAAGTTGCTTACGAGTTTTAGCTCTTATCTCTAACAAAAAAATTAATTTTTAAAAAAAAGACCGAATACGTTTCACAGCGAGAAAAAAATAAAAGGCAAGATAGAATTTTCTAGACATAAAGAAGTTGTTTACGAGTTTTAGCTCTTATCTCTAACAAAAAATTAATTTTTAAAAAAAAGACCGAATACGTTTCACAGCGAGAAAAAAATAAAAGGCAAGATAGAATTTTCTAGACATAAAGAAGTTGTTTACCGAGTTTTAGCTCTTATCTCTAACAAAAAATTAATTTTTAAAAAAAAGACCGAATACGTTTCACAGCGAGAAAAAAATAAAAGGCAAGATAGAATTTTCTAGACATAAAGAAGTTGTTTACCGAGTTTTAGCTCTTATCTCTAACAAAAAATTAATTTTTAAAAAAAAGACCGAATACGTTTCACAGCGAGAAAAAAATAAAAGGCAGATAGAATTTTCTAGACATAAAGAAGTTGTTTACCGAGTTTTAGCTCTTATCTCTAACAAAAAATTAATTTTTAAAAAAATGACCGAATACGTTTCACAGCGAGAAAAAAATAAAAGGCAAGATAGAATTTTCTAGACATAAAGAAGTTGCTTACCGAGTTTTAGCTCTTATCTCTAACAAAAAATTAATTTTTAAAAAAAGACCGAATACGTTTCACAGCGAGAAAAAAATAAAAGGCAAGATAGAATTTTCTAGACATAAAGAAGTTGCTTACCGAGTTTTAGCTCTTATCTCTAACAAAAAATTAATTTTTAAAAAAAAGACCGAATACGTTTCACAGCGAGAAAAAAATAAAAGGCAAGATAGAATTTTCTAGACATAAAGAAGTTGTCTACCTAGTGTCAGCTGTTACTTCTTCTCAATACTGATATAAAATAAAAATCTTTATTATTTATTTAATCTTTATTGTTTCATTAAACTTCATTTATTTTATATTATAGTTTTATTCTTTTAGCTACTTGTAAAATAATCTAATTTTATATCATCATTTTACCGGATTATTCTTCAGTACATCGATTGTGTATCTAAAATAATATCATTATCCTTATTCTGTTTTTTCCAAAATTCTTTTAAATATCTTTTTTGGTTAGATTACTTTATACTTTTTACTTTTATTTTTTAATTTCAAAAAAAAATTTGGTGATTGTTCTATTCTGTTACAATGTGCATTATCATATTCTAATAAATTATTCATTACATACATTTAAAAAAACTTGTTAAAAATGAAATTAAAAAATTATGTTTATTATTACGCTGTGAATGTGTCAACAGCGGTCATGCCTGTATCTGTATCCCATATTTGCCACAACCTTTCTGTATCTGCATTTGTGTATTTCGGTTTCAGCTGATACATTTGATTTGGCGTGTAATTTGTTCCAGTTAATGGATTAATTGGGAGATCTTCATGCGGTGTGTTATTATTGTACTCCCAAATAAAGGCAGGAATAGCCTGAATGCTTTGCAGCGCTCCAATGTCGGCCAGAATCTCTCAATCTTCCCATTTTGGTAGGAGAATGAGAGTCTGTATGCCGCCATTGGACGCCCCAAAGATCAAGTAGATCTTGAAAGGCGCCCCTATTTTCTGAACCGTTGTCGGTCCAGAAACAATAAGGGCGCGCCAAATTCAATGAAGGCGGAAGCCGCAACGTTCGCTGTCGTCGCTGCCAGCATATCTGGTATTTGTATACACGCTAGGACTTTGCGGCTAAAATCGTCGATTATGCCATAAATATACTGGCCACGAACACCCCTAAAATAATGAACATCTGCGTACCAGATAAGATTGGTGAAAGCGCCCAATATCTTACTGCTGTTTCTGGCCCGGCATGCTCTAATCGCGTCTTGGTGAAATGATTTTCTTTGAAGTATCTGCGTACTTCTCTATAAGATACATCAATTTGTTGTAATTTCAAACGTTTCCATTGTTTTGTTTGACCACAGGGAAAGGCCCAGTGGTCATGTATCACAGCAAGAGCTTTGATTTGGTCATAGGGATTGACCCTACGACCTTTCTTGCCTTTAGGCAATGGGATATTCTGTAAGCTAAATTGATTTTGTAAAAAAGATTTTGAAACATCTAAATATTTGAAATCATTTGATTGAAGGGTTAGGGCGATGGGAACATGGGTGCAAGCTTCTTCCCATGTCATTTTACCTTCTTCAATCTGATTGGAAATACCAATTAGGTAAATTCGATCGACATACCCTTTGTAAGGATTCATTCTAATGAAGTACGTTAACAATCAAAATATTCTATAAGTGTCTAGTATGGAATTCAAAAGAAATAAAGAAAATGGTAACGTAAATAAACGTATTATGAAATAATTTATAATTAAAATGAAAAAAAGAAAAAATAATAAGTAAAGTGACTGGAAATGAAAATGAAAATCAGTGTACAGTTTTTATTTTTTTCTCGCTGCTGACTGAAACGTATTCGCGTCATTTTTTTAAAAATTAATTTTTTGTTAGAGATAAGAGCTAAAACTCGGTAAACAACTTCTTTATGTCTAGAAAATTCTATCTTGCCTTTTATTTTTTTCTCGCTGTGAAACGTATTCGGTCTTTTTTTTAAAAATTAATTTTTTGTTAGAGATAAGAGCTAAAACTCGGTAAACAACTTCTTTATGTCTAGAAAATTCTATCTTGCCTTTTATTTTTTTCTCGCTGTGAACGTATTCGGTCTTTTTTTTAAAAATTAATTTTTTGTTAGAGATAAGAGCTAAAACTCGGTAAACAACTTCTTTATGTCTAGAAAATTCTATCTTGCCTTTTATTTTTTTCTCGCTGTGAAACGTATTCGGTCTTTTTTTAAAAATTAATTTTTTGTTAGAGATAAGAGCTAAAACTCGGTAAACAACTTCTTTATGTCTAGAAAATTCTATCTTGCCTTTTATTTTTTCTCGCTGTGAAACGTATTCGGTCTTTTTTTTAAAAATTAATTTTGTTAGAGATAAGAGCTAAAACTCGGTAAACAACTTCTTTATGTCTAGAAAATTCTATCTGCCTTTTATTTTTTTCTCGCTGTGAAACGTATTCGGTCTTTTTTTTAAAAATTAATTTTTTGTTAGAGATAAGAGCTAAAACTCGGTAAACAACTTCTTTATGTCTAGAAAATTCTATCTTGCCTTTATTTTTTTCTCGCTGTGAAACGTATTCGGTCTTTTTTTTAAAAATTAATTTTTTGTTAGAGATAAGAGCTAAAACTCGGTAAACAACTTCTTTATGTCTAGAAAATTCTATCTTGCCTTTTATTTTTTTCTCGCTGTGAAACGTATTCGGTCTTTTTTTAAAAATTAATTTTTTGTTAGAGATAAGAGCTAAAACTCGGTAAACAACTTCTTTATGTCTAGAAAATTCTATCTTGCCTTTTATTTTTTCTCGCTGTGAAACGTATTCGGTCATTTTTTTAAAAATTAATTTTTTGTTAGAGATAAGAGCTAAAACTCGGTAAACAACTTCTTTATGTCTAGAAAATTCTATCTTGCCTTTTATTTTTTTCTCGCTGTGAAACGTATTCGGTCTTTTTTTTAAAAATTAATTTTTTGTTAGAGATAAGAGCTAAAACTCGGTAAGCAACTTCTTTATGTCTAGAAAATTCTATCTTGCCTTTTATTTTTTTCTCGCTGTGAAACGTATTCGGTCTTTTTTTAAAAATTAATTTTTTGTTAGAGATAAGAGCTAAAACTCGGTAAACAACTTCTTTATGTCTAGAAAATTCTATCTTGCCTTTTATTTTTTTCTCGCTGTGAAACGTATTCGGTCTTTTTTTTAAAAATTAATTTTTTGTTAGAGATAAGAGCTAAAACTCGGTAAACAACTTCTTTATGTCTAGAAAATTCTATCTTGCCTTTTATTTTTTTCTCGCTGTGAAACGTATTCGGTCATTTTTTTAAAAATTAATTTTTTGCTAGAGATAAGAGCTAAAACTTTGCAGACAACTCCCCCATGTCTAGCAAATTTAACATTCGTCTCCCATTTTTATATATTTGGTTTAGAATGTTCGAAAATGCGTAATATGGTCATTAATATTAATTGAAAAGGATAAGCACCTGCTGTCAGTCGCGGTTATCCTTCGCTTTTTACTAGAAAGCTGGGAAGCTTTGTCTATTTGCTCAAGTTATTAGGGCAAGGTTTCCCAGCTTTCTTGAAATGATAACTTATTCAAAGAAAGTTTCCCAGCTTTCGAGTAAACTGCGAAGGATAACCGCGACTGACAGCAGGTGCTTATCCTGCTGTTCAAAGTCGCAGTTATCCTTCGCTTTCGTCGCTAAGTTTGGTCTGATTGGGAAATGATAACCAAACTTAGCGACGAAACAAGGCACTGCAGGGCGTTGCAGGCTGTATATTAGGAGTATATGGCCTGCAGCGCTCTGCAGTGCCTTGTTATAAGAGAACTTTCGGCTGGATAACATAGTTATTCAGCCGAAAGTTCTCCTGAAAGCAAAGGGCAACCAAGGCGGCAGACATTGGAGTGCACTGCCGCCTTAATGTTATGAATGCCAACCACGCACAACCATGGCCTCATTCATAACAAATGGCACTTTTTCTTTTTTTAAACGTGCAAACACCAATGGCCTCTAGTGGCGCTAATACAGGCGTATCACTTTTCCTAAAATCCTCTACTTTACAGGCCTGTCACTTTTTATGAGTGTGTCACTTTTTTTTAAATGTCCGCCACTCATATTTAATTACCTGTTTATATTTCATGTGCTTTTATCAATGTTACTATAGGTACGGGAAAAAGGTGTATTCGCCCCACAAAATAGGGGAAGGAAAAGTTTTTAGAAAAAGATAATAACACCAATAAATAGTAAATATTATCCTTATATTATTATTAAAATTTTGTGAATGTTTCTTTGTTGGTTCTTGAGAAAATCGAATTTTATATTTCAAAAATAAAAAATTTTATCGTCTTTTAACGTACATATAAATTTTTATTTGGTCAGTAAATAATAAAGATATGACCCTAAATTTTATACCATAGTATATGTATAAAATATGAATATTATTGGTATAATCAAAGTTCCAAAAAAACTTTTCCTTCCCCTATTTTGTGGGGCGAATACACCTTTTTCCCGTCCCTATGGGGTATTATTATTGTCGTCTGGCGGTTTTAGACGACAATGCGAATTTTCAAATAATAGGATTTTTAGCCAGATAAAGAGCTACTCCATATATCATGCGTGTTTGCATACTATATACATAGATGGAATTGATGTTCTTCCTTTATTTAGGTACCGAAACATGCTTGAAAAATCTATTTTTTAGACAACAATGATAATTTTGTCACTTTTCCAGACGACAATCATAATTTGTCACCTTTTTAGACGACAATAATAATTTTGTCACTTTTTCCAGACGACAATAAAACATCCTCCGTACCTATATTAAAGTCGATAATGTGCATGACCATTTTGCACAATTAAAAAGTTTTGACCATGTGAATGGTAATGTATACGATGTCACGATTTAGATTAAATGCATGTGATGAATTTGATTTTTTGAATCATCGTTTTTTGGATTATAATTTCAAATATTTTTTCAATAAACCATTTATACATTACCATTGTTCATATCATAAGCCTCAACAGTCTTGTTCTAGTTCTTCATTTACAATTGTGTGTCAATATGTGTTGAATTTTAGTATTGTAAATTTTGTACATAAAGCTTTATTTTAATAGAATATAACACATTAGGGCATAGAAAAACTACTACATTATCGTGTTTGTACGAACATTTATGTCTAGAGCTGCAAACAACGCTGAAGCCCAAATTTAATAATTTATTTTTTCTTTTGCGCGAAAACTAATAGAAGTATTATACTTACCATCGGGAATCTATTAAGTTATCAGGACATTCCAATCATTATTTTTGTTTCTAGCATGAGAAACAGAAAAGAAGGGATTAGTTGTCATAAGGAAAAATAAGAGGGGTGTCCACTTTTCTCTTATACACAGGGGATTTAACCTCGTTAAGTTGGAAGATAATCTATTTGAAGTGTCTTTATTCCGTCATCTCATGACGTTGCAGCTTCGAAAATTTTAACGTGCTTTTTACATTAGAATCTTTATATTATAGGTTATTAAGTATCTTCAAATATTTAACAACTTTTGAATTCAATGATTCTATAAACGATCGCGTTATTTTGAACAAGACGTAAAATGACTGAATTTAAGTCTTCGGCATTGAAATGCATTGTTATTGGATCAAGTGGCGTAGGCAAAACAGCTTTACTGAAGAGGCTTACCGAGAACAAGTTTTACGAACAGCTTCAATCAACAATTGGAGTCGAATATGAAACTACAACTATAGAAGTGGATGGCGATAAAATAAAACTCAATATATGGGATACTGCTGGTCAGGAAAAGTTCAGATCAATTTCCCGTGCTTATTTTAGAGAAGCAATGTGCGTACTTCTCGTTTTTAGTCTAACAGATAAGCAATCCTTTGAAGACATGAGTCAGTGGTTATCCGATGTACGCCAGTTATGTGATCACAAGGCATCAATCTTAATTGTTGCAAATAAAAGCGATTTGACAGAGACAAGGGTAATCTCTGCAGCAGAAATCAGTAAATTTGCCGAAAGTCGAAACCTTGAATATCTTGAAACATCAGCTTATACTGGAACAAACGTTAGAGAAGCATTTGTTCGAGCTACAGCCAAAATTTGGAGGCAACTTAAGTTAGAACAGCCAGAATTGAATAAGGTTGACTTAGGAAAGACAAACGATAAAAAAAAGAAATGCTGCTGACTCGATAAAATTATTGAAAACGCAAAGATTACTGATTTAACTTCAGTTTTCATTAGCGCTATATTTTAGTTGTTAAAATGTTACATATTGTTACTACTTTATGATATTTTTCTTCTATATTTTTCATTATGCTCAATCTAAAATGGAGTTGATTCATAGTTTGATAGCAGTACTTAATAAACTTAGTAAATACATCTATGTGGAGCATGCTGTGAATGATTCAGATACTAATTTTTTAAGAGTTATAATTTTCCTGATTCTCTCTCAAGGGCAATTGCGAAATGTTTCATGAACGTACTTGGAAGGAAATGCCCTATCGAAATATTGTTACACTTTATAAAATATAATACTCTTATCAGTAAATTCACCTTGATTAGTAGTAGGATAGGATGGGTTGTGTGACTTTTTTTGTTACATCTATATATAGACGATGCATTAAAATATATTTATTTATAAATCATTAAAAAATTAACATTAATTTTAAAATAATTTATTTTTTTATTCTTACATAAATGACCCAACAAGTAAAACCAGATAAAATAGATTATCGAATTTTAGAGGATGGTGTTCCTGTTTATATTCAAAGATTTAAAGGGAAGCAATATTATAGAATTGTTAATCCTGAATACATAAAACATTTATTTAAAAAGGAAGACTGTGAATTATTAAACGTTAATGAATATGAAACCAATAAATCAAAATTGAAATATAAATATATTGGAAGTGATGAAAGATGCAAAGATAAAGATAAAGTTTATACAGTTTCATATAATGAATGGAAAACCAATAAGATAAGAAAACATTTAGGAGATTATGGGAAATGTTCTGAATTCTTTAAATCTAGTATATACGAGAGAGTAAAAGAAATTAGAAATAATTATTTTCATGAATAAAAGATTCACTACCATAATGAAATAAAAAATAAAAATATTAAAAAATTAACATTAATTTTAAAATAATTTATTTTATCTTTTATAAAAGAAGCTATATATATAGATGATGTCAGATATTCCGCGATTAATTAAACATTGTTTAAATCCTGAATGGGTTAAACTTCAATTTAAAAATGAAGATTGTGAATTATTAAATGAATATGAAAGCCAAAATAAGCTAATGAAGTCATAATCAAAGACCTCATAAACTTTAAAAATTATGTCTCACATTTTTGAATAATTTATTTTTAATTCGTATGAAATGAGCGTCAAAACTAACAACGTTAAAAAATTAGGATTCACAAACGAGGAAATAAAGGATATATTAGATGAGATGTGTTATGAAGTTAGTAAATATTATTTAAGAAATTGTCAAAAATTTGCCGAGTTATTAAATGATTTAGATTATGATGGAAAAATGAATAAAGATGATGTTATAAATTTCTTATATCCCACATCTGAAGAAGAAAAACCTAAAGAACCTGATGTTTTCCCTGAATATTATGAAGAACGGATTAAAGATGATGATGAATACAATGAAATTGAAAAACTGGAAAAAATAAGAGATGAAATAAATGAAAAAATTAAGGAATTAAGAGAAGTTGAAAAATATAATGAAAATGAAGTAGAGGGTTTAATGAATATCCCAGCTTCAGAATCAGCAGTTCAGAAATCTCATGAAGAAAGATATAAAAATTATGTCTCAGAATCAACACAAAATTTATTAGATGGTGAAATAGATGAAACACTTTCAGAAGAAGGTACTAAATTTATTCGTAAACATAAGTTACAATTTATTGATAATGAAAAATACCCTTGTATCTTACTTTCACCCCCTCTCGATTCTGAGAAATTCAAAAAAGCTCTTAAAAACGTGACATATGCAACTAATACGATTAAGAAAGAAGATCATGATATTTACACAAATTATTATTTAAATAAATGCACAGGTGTTGATAAAGTTTTTGATTTGTTAGATAAAATATCAAAAGAAACCATTGGAACATATAAAATTTTGTGTGATTGTGGTTTCATTATTGAAGATACCAATAATGTTTCATATGAAAGAACAGCACCGAAGGAAGACGAAGTTGAAAGGTCTATACCATTCGTTATTAAGAATATAAAAGATATGAAAACTTATAAACATTATATTTATTCATTTATTTCAGAAAAAATGGAAGCAACCCATAAAACATCTTCTCATCATTTTATAGCTATTCATACATTCCTTTTCAAAGTTGTGAAATTAAATAAGACAGGAATTATATTTAATGTATCAGGGTACGCATTCTTGAGTAAATTAAAATGTATTCGTCACGTCGCAGATGATAAAAATTTATGTGTTCTTAATTCATTTTATGGGCTTTAAAAAATAAACTTTATTTTTATTTATTTTTTAATTTTTTATTCTTACATAAAATGAACAAAAACGGAACCGCTAAAATGAATGATAATCAAATTAGAGCAGAAGGTAGAAGGTTATTTAAACGCTTCTATAACATTCCTGATGGTGTTAATCCTAAAACTCGTAGAAGTTATTTAAATGAAGCAATAGATTCATATGAAGAAGGTTTGACATTTCATCAGAAAGTGAGAGATTAGCGAGAATGTTAAATGTTAATATTGATTTCTATTATTGTGATCCTCAACCAGAAGACGTGGACATAAATAAGGTAGACTTTCCATTAGTGGATTCAATAATGATAGATCCAGAATTTGAAACAGTAAATATTTTATTAACACAGAGTCCATGTGGAAAACTTCACGCTGACAGAATAACAGACGTTGAAGCACTCACCGGCTATAGAGTTTGTCCATATTGTAAAGAAGAAGTTTATTCTATCCGTGATGATCCAGAAAGGAAAAACCAAAGAGAAGTTTTAAAGCATTGTGAGAAATGTAAAGAAAATAATGGAAGATTAATTCAAGACGTTCAGTTGCAAAAGACACAGCAACCATATGCACCACATATTACGAAACAGAAGATATATCAGTGGTTATTAGCTCATAATTTGCAGAAATATTATAAACCGACAAGATATTATATTACTTTTGACTTTGAAACATTGGAGACTAAAGAAGAATTACAACTTTCTGAGTGTGCAACTTTGAATGCTTACTTAAAACCATTCATGGTATCATCAACGGTTAAATTAAATGATAAAACATATACGAGGAATTTTTGCTTAACTTCGAGTGATTCTTTTATTTCTGATTGGATTGAGTTTTTATTTTCAACCTGTTCATTAGTTGTTGAATCAAATATTGAACAATATGAAGAATTATTGAAGTCGCAAACGGACCAAACGGCAGGGACTTTGTCCCATACATTAAATGAAAAACAGAAGGAAGCATTTAAAGAACTTCTAGATGAGGAATTCAATAAAGTGAATATCATAGGTTTTAATTCGGGAAAGTTTGATTTAAATTTAATTCTTCGTGATTTAAACACTGCAAAATGGAAAATAAAATCAATGCTGGGTTCTTCTTCTCAATTTAAGCAAGTCATTGTAAAGAAAACAAACGCTCCATATGAATTGAGATTTATTGACATCAGAAATTATATAGCGAGTGGGACATTAGACCAATTCACTCAAGATTTCGGAAACAATAAATCACGTGTTAAATCCTTTTTCCCTTATCAATTCATCACGTGGGAAAATTACGAAGAAAAATTATATAAAGTGGAACCATTCACTCAAGATTCATTTTATTCAGCATTAACCCAAGAAACTATATCAGATAGTGATTATCAAATATATCTCAATGATACTAAAAACTTTAAGAATAGATTAGAATATTTTATTCATTATTGCAATAAAGATGTTGAAATTATGATTGACCCAATTGATAAAATTATTGAAGAAACATTTGTTTATAAAATTGATATGCTTCATAATCTTTCTTTATCATCGAATGCTTCAATGATTCGTTACGCTTTAGCATATAAAGACTTTAATCCTAATGAAAAATATCCTGAGGAAGAGATAGAATCAAGTTTTGAATTAACGAAAAAGTATTGGAAATATAAAATTGAATCATATAAGAAACAAGATGAAAAAGCAGAAAGGGATACTAAAAATAATGTTTCAATGGATGATTTTCAATACTATCACGATTTAATCCTTTCATCTAAATGTAAAATGTGTGGTAAAGCGTTTACATATGCTAATAAACCAACATTAGATAGAATCGATAATGAAAAACCACATACCAAAGAAAATTGTCAGTTAATGTGTTGTTATTGCAATGTCGTGAAATCAAATAAAGATGAAGATGTTCAACGTTTAAGAATCAATTTAAGAAATTATGCATTAAAAAATAATTTACCAATGACTTTAGATTCGGTTGAAGCTTATCACATTCTCCGTAATGGAATTACTGGTGGTCTATCAAATGTTCAACATAGAGTAAATCTTAAATGAATCACGCACATTAATAAACTTTCATATAGTCCAGAAACTAAAACTGTATCAAATGAGGACACCACCAACATTATGACTCATTTCGTTAGAGTTGACTTTAATTCATTATATCCTTCATCATTTTCATCTAATCCTCATGATTTCATTCAATATACTGACCATAAAATGTATATGCCGGGAAGATTGAATGGTGTTATCATTTGTGATACAGCAACAAAGAAAGCAAAAGCACTGGGAATAATTAAGAAGAAAAATACTTTATTCGTTGCTGAAGTAAAGGGTCACATTGATGAAAAATACATTAATGATTACATAAACTTTTTACCGATAATAAGAAACTTAGATATTATCACAGATGAAAAAACAATTGGCAGTTTTATGTATAATTACATGAAATCAAACAATCTACCAGTTGACCAGAAACAGAGGAAATTAACTCAATTAGCATCAACACACAACCAATATCAACCATTTTCTTCTTATTATCTTTGGTATCTAATAGACAGATTTCATTTTATCATTGATGACATTCAATCAATTTTAACATTTACGAAAAACACTTGTTTTAATGAATTTGCGAACGAATTTATGAACGAAAGACAAAAGGCTGAATTAGAAGGAAATAAAGGAAAAAGTTTATTTTGCAAGATTTCGCTTAATGGATTATATGGTTACGATGCAATGAATACACAAAATTACGCAAAGACTAAAATAATGAATGCACAGAAATCACGCGTTGCATGTATGTCAAATAAGTTTAAAAACATAAGAGAAATAGGTGAGGATACATATCAAGTGATGCTTAAAGATAGATTTTATAGATGTGATACATGTTTACAAGAGGCATTCTTCACTTTAGATAATGCTAAATACTGGTATTTGGTTTTCATTTATGATTTTATGTATAAATGCATGGATGTTAATCGTTTTCATTTCATTGAAGGTGATACTGATTCATCTTATTGGGCTATTGCTGGCGATCCAAGTCTTCCTAACACTCAAGCATTTCAGGCGATTGTTACCGATAAAAAATTTTATGATAAAAACATTTTCAAATTCGCACCATTTGATTTCTTCTGTTTTGATGAGAAATTTAAACCTAAATTAAAGAATAAAGCTGAAGAAAAAGCACATGAGAAAAAATTATTGGGTTTAGCAATTGAGAAACAAGGTGATAACATGGTTGCTTTATGTCCTAAGTGTTATACATCATTCAACGGTTCAATTGATGGAAGTGATTTTAAAAAGATTGCACAAAAAATGAAGGGTGTTAGTTTAAGACAAAATAAGCAATTAACACCTAAAAAATATTTGGATATAATAAATGATAAAGTGATATTTGATGGTCAGAATATTAATTTACAACTTAAAAACGGGTCAATGACTCGCTTAACAATCGGTAAGACTGCATTAACAGGAGCACACACTAAGGCTGTATGTTGTGAAAATGGATGTTGTATGCCATTTATTTAATACAATTTAAAATTTTATTTTTAATGAAATGCCACAGAAGAGACAAAAGGAACCAAATCGATTTATACCAAATGGTTTTAACTTTCAGATTCCAAATAATCAACCACAACGAATTTTTTAAATCCCATCACAGCATCAACAGCAACAACAACCGCCACCATTTGATACCGTTTTAGAAGAAGGAACCATTAATGATGGGATTCAATATGTTAATGATGGTTTTGATACTATGATTCAAAGAGGTGGGCACCCTTAAACATTTATTTTATTTTTATATAAATGGATAACACAGATTTAAAAATTTTAATTGATGATTTAGTATTTAATCAAAATTTTCTTAGTTATTATGAATTAAAATCATATCTCCAAAAATATAATAATAATATAACGGGTGATGATATGGAATATTATTATCCATATTATAAAAATGAAATTTTGAAATATCATAATAAAATAATTTCTGAAATTAAAGACAAAATTAAAAATAATGAATATACAAAGGGAAAAACTAAATCACAACTTAAACAGTTGAAAGATTTCAAAAATAAAGTATTAACAGAAGAAGATATTGATGAATTATATAATTTATATAATCCTGAGCCACAAAAACCAAAGCCGAGGTCTAAAGTAGCAAATGTTCAACAGCTAAAGGAACAAAACGCCCAGGTTCTTCAGACCATAAATGATGCACAAGCTTTAATTTATGATTCATTAGTTAAACCATATTCAGCCCGACTTTTAAATGAAGATCAACTTTTGGAATTCATCCTTCAACATAAACTCGAAGCGGGAAAGTATATCAAACCTTTATATACAGCATATTTAAAACAAATGAATAGAATACATCCAGAATTAATGAAAGGAGGAATGAATTCCAAAACTTCATCATCCAAAATCAAAGCAGATAAAATTAAACCACTTGCAACACCAAAACCTCCAACGACAGTACCGCCTCCTCCTTCAGTTAATCCTTCATCATTCACTTTATTATATCCATTTCAAACATTAAAGAAGCAAAAAGATTTTAAAAGGATTTCAAAATATTAAATAAACCAACTGACCCAAAAATTCAACCGTTAAAGGAAAAATTTAGTCGCCCTTCATTTGCACCATATCCATATTCATACGAAATCGATCATTTAGAATATTCAAAAGGAAACGTTACTTATTTATTTGCCATTAACATTAACACTAGATATTTATATTGCATTCCAGTGAAAGGGAAAACAGAACAGGAAACAAGAAGAGCTATTCAATACTTACTAGATCATGAAAGAGTAGATAATATAAGGGGTGATGGTGATAAAGGATTTCAGGCAACTATGACTCATTATTTCCCACAAATTAATTTTTTCTTTTCATCCTCTCCATATACGTTTCATAATAAAATAGTTGATGCGGTAATGAGAACTCTTAGAGATGCGTTAGGGGTTAACGGTCAGATATACTGGGATGGAAATCATGACTCCATCATACAGCAGTTAGTATATTATTATAATAATACATGGCATAGAACTATAAACATGAAACCAGTGGAAATGAAAAATGATATTTCAAAAGAATGGGAATATATTAGAAAGCAAATGGAAAGGTTGAATGATGTTAAACGTGAACAAATTAATTCGGGGCTCATGAATTTTAAACAAGGGGATAAAGTTTTGATTCATCTCGATTATGGAAAAACTAATAAATCAATGACAAAAAGAAGACGAAGATTTGACACAATAGCTGAATTTGTTAGATATATTAACGGCAATGCATTAGTTGAAGTTGACAATAAATTAATAGAAATTCCGATTTATTTTATTACTCCATTATATTTAAATAATATTTAATTTTTTTATTTCGTAAGAAATGAGTGACAACAAAGCAGCCAAGAGTCCTGATTTAATTAAGATTCAGAGTCCAGACGATGAATATAAAAAGAAACTAAACAGAAGTAAATCAAAAATATGCTATTACAAAAAGAAGCCACAATGCGGTGGGGCTGATGCCCATAAAACTAATGGAACTGAAAACGATAAAGAGAAGAAGGAAATAATTGAAAAGTTAGAAACTTACCGTTCAATCCTTAAACTGAGTGAAGCAAAAATAAAAGAATTTAATAGAATAAATAAATTGATTGGAAGAGATGAATTTAATAAAGATGAATTTTTAAACTCTATCCAAATTTAATTTTTATTCCTCTTCGACAACATCTCTCTTTCCATCATTACTGCATAACCACATTTTCTCAGTTTTAGTGGTTTGTTATTTTTAGCAAGTTCTCGCATCATTTTTATCGTTTCCTCCCTTGTTATGATTCGTGGTAAATTTTGAGCTTGTGGGGTATTCATTTATGATAAAAATAAAAATTTAAATTATGCCGTTCTAAAGTTTGTGACAACATGACATTCTGACAACAGTCCCGGAAATAAACTTCATCGTAATGAACGTAAATGATTTGTCAAGACTTCTTCGTATATGTTTTGTCACTATGTCACTCGGTTAATTAACTTCTCTGAAAAAATGAGACAACATGACATTTTGACAACACAGCAGGATTAATGCAAAAATAAATTCCAATCATACTTTATAAAGCATCATTTACAGGTATTTCATCGTCAGTAAATGACCCAAAAATAATGTTTACGTTAATGTTTTTAGGTTATTCAATAATTAATTATTTTTGAAGAACTGAAGGTGCTACCATGTCACTATGTCACTCGGTTAATTAACTTCTCTGAAAAAATGAGACAACATGACATTCTGACAACAGTCGGGGAAATAAATGTTTACGTTAATGTTTACGTTAATGTTTTTAGGTTATTCAATAATTAATTATTTTTGAAGAACTGAAGGTGCTACCATGTTACCATGTGCTACCAGGTTAATTAACTTCTCTGAAAAAATGAGACAACATGACATTCTGACAACAGTCGGGGAAATAAATGTTTACGTTAATGTTTACGTTAATGTTTTTAGGTTATTCAATAATTAATTATTTTTGAAGAACTGAAGGTGCTACCATGTTACCATGTGCTACCAGGTTAATTAACTTCTCTGAAAAAATGAGACAACATGACATTCTGACAACAGTCCCGGAAATGTTTTGTCATGATTTCATCGTAATGAGTGTAAATGACCCAAAAATAATGTTTACGTTAATGTTTTTAGGTTATTCAATAATTAATTATTTTTGAAGAACTGAAGGTGCTACCATGTTACCATGTGCTACCAGGTTAATTAACTTCTCTGAAAAAATGAGACAACATGACATTCTGACAACAGTCCCGGAAATGTTTTGTCATGATTTCATCGTAATGAGTGTAAATGACCCAAAAATAATGTTTACGTTAATGTTTTTAGGTTATTCAATAATTAATTATTTTTGAAGAACTGAAGGTGCTACCATGTTACCATGTGCTACCAGGTTAATTAACTTCTCTGAAAAAATGAGACAACATGACATTCTGACAACAGTCCCGGAAATGTTTTGTCATGATTTCATCGTAATGAGTGTAAATGACCCAAAATAATGTTTACGTTAATGTTTTTAGGTTATTCAATAATTAATATTTTTGAAGAACTGAAGGTGCTACCATGTTACCATGTGCTACCAGGTTAATTAACTTCTCTGAAAAAATGAGACAACATGACATTTTGACAACACAGCAGGATTAATGCAAAAATAAATTCCAATCATACTTTATAAAGCATCATTTACAGGTATTTCATCATCAGTAAATGAATCCTCATTATCGTTTGGTTCAACCTGTTTATATAATCCTTTCATTTCTTCTTTCAAAACATAACACCATGTTTGTTTATCGTCTATTCTTCTATGTTTCCTATCACATTTATCCTTAATGCTCATTTGAAAGTTTTTGTCTTTCATGTCTGATGGTTTGCAGAATAGAGCATTTTTACATGTCATACCTGCACACAATTCATCATAATGTGTATTTATCCATACATCTAAAGGATTTGTTGATAATTCAATTAAATCTTGTTTGGCTTCAGTCATCGGTATGATTCGTACGTTAAATGATGAAAGGTCGTAATTGATAAAATACGTCAGTAAATTATCATAAAATTCCTTAGTGCATGAATCCATTAAATTCTTGAAGTAATCAAATTGACCCTTGAATTTACCATTAACTCTTAAAACTACGTATCTTCTGTCTCCAACTTCAATTTTGACAGGGTAGACGTTATTAGTTACGAAAATGAAGTTTGCAACGTAATGAGTGTAAATGACCCAAAATATATTTTAGGGTAGAAGGGTAGATCTAACCTCATTTCTACCCTCAGGAATTTTCATACGGAATCTCTTCTCTCGGTTTTCCGAGGGAAGCAATCATATGAGGAAATTCTTCTAAAATTTCTTTTGTCTGTTGGTTTTCAAACCAATGATATGCTTGCTTTGTAGAACGAAGAGCATTCATTATACTTTGCATTTGGTACATGTCATCTTTGACCGAACGAATGAGGCGAAGTTGTTTGTTATATTGTATGTACTCGTATTCTTCATTTATGGCTTCATGAACGATAGCAGTTGTTGTGTTCTCTGATGTTGACATTACTGTCATTTCATACAAAATAAAAATAATTTTAAAACTAACTTTATTTTTTCTGACTTTCACAAAAGACCAAAAATAAACGCTTTACATGTATTTTTCAGCAACTTCGTCAAATAATTTTATAGCTTTATCTATCTCATCTACTTCAAACGTTTCTTTACCTTTCATGGGAGCACCATACCTTTTCTCAAACTTTTCAAGTAGTTCTGTTTCAGCAGCTCTCATATCATTAACGAACACAACCTTGACTCTATTGACTGTACTGTCATATCTTTGAGTTATATTATATGTTCTTCCTATCTTATATCTCTTTGTATTGAAGTCCTTCGGTTTCTGAACGATGTAAAGTAAGCCTTCACTGCAACGTTCTGAGTCGAATGAACCATAAGTTATGAAGTTATATCCAACAACTGGGTCTAACCATAACAAAACTATTGGTATAAGACTTTTGTCTATAAGATATGCTCTTGTTCCATGAAATGCTACTGATATCATAAGCTCAGGATTTCTTGTCAAAATTTTCTGAGTAGAAGCAATTCTAACCCAGTCCTTTGTTTTCTTTCCAGATGGTGTTATAATGTCTGACAAAGAATATTTGTTGTATTTCTTTGAGTATCTTACGTTTAAATCACCTATTCTAACCACTTTGGTGTCATTGTCAATCTTTCTAACTGTTTCAAACTCAATGTTTGACATTACTGTCTTTACATACAAAATAAAAATTTTCTTAGAAAAAATTAGCGTTATTTTTCTAACTAATGAAATTCATGAAATTTGGTCATTTTTCAGACAAAAATAATGTTTAGGGTAGATGGTTAGATCTAACCTGATATCTACCCTCATTTCTACCCTCAAGATTTACAAACGTTTAACGTGATATACGTTATGAATTCGTGAAATTTTAAATATTTTTGTAGCTTCTATTTCTTCAGTTAATATATCAAAAATTTTAACAATGCCGAAAGTTTCTTTATACTTCTTCTTGACATCAGATAAAAGGAAATCATCAGCTGTTGGATAGTTTTTGTTCAGAAATGCTAACATGTCCATTTTATCTTCTGCTGGTTTCTCTACTTCTTTCTTTAAGTCAGCATAGTCGTTTCTCATACGTTCTATCTCTTTGACGGAGTAGTTATATTTCCTCATTGCTGCTTTACATTTTGAACATTGCGGATTCATTTTTGCGTTATACATTGAAATTTGACCTGCTAGAACAACTAAGGCGTCAATGGTTTTCTTTAACTCAAAAGTTGTTGGTTTTATTTGTCCATTCCATACTTTGCCTCTTCTGTCTTTATCTCTTATTTGCCACACACATTCAGCAGCTAATGAAACAAAGTTATCGTAAGTCTTAAACTCCTCAGATTTATATATGTCAGAAATGTTTTTATAAACCATGTCGCAATCTTTGTTCATAACTTTATGGTTGCAATGAAAACCAAGGAATTCATAATTTACTTTACGTATGAACTTCTTTATTTCTACTGAATCAGTAACTTTAACTTCAATTTCATCGAATTCAGGAATAGTTAGTTTTTGTTGCTGAACTTCCGGTAATTTAGGCAAATGGTCTATGATATCTTGCATTTCATATAGCTCCTCTCCATTTGTTTCATCTGTCGCACTACAGTCTAAATTACTTGTTAAAAGTTCTTGCTTTATTCTTTGCATTTCTGTTTCAAAAGTATATGAAGAAGGAATGAAGTTTTTCATCTCTACCAACATTGACGTAGGATTCATGATTAATGAATTTGGTGCCGTAGTTGTGGACAGAGTCCCGCCGTTCGTGGCTTGAATTGTTGTTGTGCCGATTGTTGAAATCATATCTTTTATACAAAATAAAAAAATAAAAATAAAACTAACTTTATTTCTTCTGTCTTAAGGAAATTCATGAAAATTCATGAGGGTAGAAATGAGGGTAGATATCAGGTTAGATCTAACCATCTACCCTAAACATTATTTTTGCTGAATTCAGCAACAAAATGAACGAGGTCAGGATGTATGTAAATACCTTTGAATTCATTTATAACGCCCTTAGTAAGCTCATAAAATGCTTGTTTTGAGGTGGAGCCAAAAGTGGCTCGACCGTATTCTTTCAACCAAAACTCAAGAATTTCCTGCATGAATTTTGTATAAAAAAACAACCGCCGGAATTCAGACGGTTGCTATATTCTTCACAAAATGCCTTATAATACTCTTCCCAGGACTTATTTTCCAACAACTTTCTAAAGTCTTTCCTAAACTGACTGACTGACTGACTGACTGACGGCACAAAGTGGCTTAACGAAAACATTAATATATAAAATTTCACGAAAATTCATAACGTATATCACGTTATACGTTTGTAAATCTTGAGGGTAGAAATGAGGGTAGAAATGAGGGTAGAAATGAGGTTAGATCTAACCATCTACCCTAAACATTATTTTTTGGTGTAAATAAATGGTACCATTAATGATATCATGACTGTTCTCGTTCATGTCTGATTTACATCTAATGAAAAAGTTTAGAAGAATTTTCTTATTCTTTCTGGCATATTTTTATCTTTCCAGTACTCCCGCTCTAATGGTCCCAGATGTGTTGGCTTCGACTCTCTCAAGTTCTTAGATGGTATAACACCTTCAACGCCTCCTTCATAAGTCTTGACAAATCATTTACGATGAAACCATTAACGTAAACATAAACGTAAACATTTATTTCCTGTGTTGTTGTCAAAATGTCATGTTGTCTCATTTTTTCAGAGAAGTTAATTAACCTGGTAGCACATGGTAACATGGTAGCACCTTCAGTTCTTCAAAAATAATTCATAAATGCCTTCCTCCAGGACTGTTGTCAAAATGTCATGTTGTCTCATTTTTTCAGAGAAGTTAATTAACCTGGTAGCACATGGTAACATGGTAGCACCTTCAGTTCTTCAAAAATAATTAATTATTGAATAACCTAAAAACCATTAACGTAAACATTAACGTAAACATTATTTCTGCAGTTCATCCATTACTTCATTACCTAATTAATTACAGACATAAAATATATTTAGTTCATTCGGTAAGCCTAAACCCTTTGGGTCAAGTCTCAAGTGTGTTTATTGAACTCGGTAAGCCTAAACCCTTTGGGTCAAGTCTCATGTGTGTTTATTGAACGCGGTACCATGCGAATACAGTCACAAATGGTGGCATATAATCTTTACCCAAGCCTGTTGGATTTGTTGTGAAAGTGTGTGAATGATTTCCTCCTGGTTCAGTTTGTCGAAAAGTCTTTTTTGCTGAATGGTTATAATCTGGAGATAAAACATCATTGCCAGCTTCATATTCTGAGTTGTATAATGGGTGGTCTCTTAATGAGTGGATATGGTCACCAGAAAAGTTTGTAGTTCCTGTATGAGTTTGTGGTGGAAGGTTTGCTTCTTTAATTTTCTTCGAACCTCCTGTTTGCTTTGAATATCTAGCACAGTATAAGAATTTATCTACAATCTGCTTCCACGTACCAAAACCTAAAACTGTTGCTGGATTTGTTGAATTCATTGATGTATAAATAGAACCAACAGGATATAATGTTTGAAGTATTTCATTTTTCATGCTTGTAATCACATCATTTACTTCCGACTTCTTTGCATAATTTTCATCAACATATGTTTTATCTGCTTTAAGGTCTAAACATCCTGAAACCCATTCTGTATCAGCTTTAACTTTAAAAGTCTCAAATGTCCATTCATGATACCATTCAACCTTTTCTTTAATTTCATTATCTTTTTCATCAACATAAACCAAATTTGCCTTCTTATTTAACTCACTATCCACATATTCCTTATCCACCTTCTTCATTATGTCATTTAGGAAACCTTCTATGAATTCCTCATTTAAATTAAATCTTCCAATCTTCAAAACTTTAGGAAATGCATTTAATGCGTAATATCTCTGTTCTTCTGGTGGAATTGATGTTATATCATCCGTTATACCTTTAATTTTAGAATTCATAAATAAAATTTCTTTTATATTTGATATCACTGCACCTCCTTTGCAAACGAATTCGAAATGGTCATTTTCAATACTATCTCCAAATCTCCATATTTCAACCTTTGCGTTTGTTCTGCCGTCTTTGAATTATATGCATATATGGCGTATGTAATGGTCTGAGGGACCTGGGTGTTTTGTGCCTTAAGTTGTTGTGGTTGCTGTTGTTTAATCATTTATTATGATTTAAAAATAAATATTTAATCTGTTATCTCATCACCTATTTTTTCTATTTGAAATTGCCATAATATTTCATTCATGAATTCTAAACCACAATCAAATAGGTCAGTTATTCTAAATTTAATATTGATAAATCTTTTGAATGAAGAATAAATGAATTCCCGGATAATTGAAACGGATATGATAGAAAATGTGTTTAAGTTGATGGATAAAATGTTTTGTATTGATGGGTAAGAGTTAGGGTCTAATGTTTGATGTGAAAATCTCATTGGGGTATTAACTTTATCACATTTGATTAAAATGAAATTGGAACCAGTGTCAGAATACAAAACATCCCCAACATCTTTTTCAAAATTTAATATTCCCAACAATGAACGAAGATGAGGAGTACAAAATTTAATTTTCAGCGGGAATTTAATAAGGTTATTTATTTCATCAAGTTCAAAAGTTTATCAGGTTTGATTTAAAAATTTTCTTCATACCATACGATAAATGATTCATTTAAATAACTTAAAATCGTGTTAATATCCCATTTCGCTATCACATTATTTATATACATATCATACGTTTTTTCATGGTCATCTTTTAATAAATGATATATAATCTGAAGGGTCTAAAAGAATGGGATTAAATTTACCACTCACAGAAACGAGAGTAACATTATAAATTCCGCTAACTGTTAAATTTAATTCACAGCTATTATTCGAAATAATATTGATAATTGACATTTTTATTACGAATAAAAATATGGTAAAGCGTTATTTTCCAGTGATAAATAAAACTAGAATAAGATTACCTCAAGAATTCATAAATTCAACGAATAAGAAATTCATTCATGTTATAAATTTTAGTGTTTTCAGAAAATATGAGTCAATGTCATATTCATCAACAGGTTATATTTCACTTCATTCAAATTTAGTTCAATCAAACCCATATAATGACCATTTCATAAGATTTTCAGATGGTATTAAAAATGTAATTGATAGATTAAAATATGAACAGATTGACAATATCGAATTTTGGAATTTTGGTTTAAATATCCCGATGGAAAAAAGATTGAAGTTAAAGATAAAGCTGATACTATAACAAAAACAATTACAATGACCGATCCGGATAGTGGGGAACAAAAAGAAATAAAACAAACGATAGAAACTGGTGAAAGGTCAATTATTATTGATTATGATTCAAAGGATTATTATTCAATAATGTTAATGCTTGAATATTAAATAGCCTTAACAAAGAATTTTTCAAGTGATATTTTATATTCATCAACTATTTTATTATAAATATCATTATATGTTAAATGAAGTTCAGTTGTTGTTCCGTTCTTTGATATCTTAATTGTGCTAATATCCTTTATAGGATTTATTTTTGCAACTGTTCCGCAGCATGAAACCTCATCATCTATGAAAAATTGAATCTTAACGTCTGAATCTTGAACATCACAAAGAATGGCGATAATGTGAATTAATGATTCATAAGGTAAAATAATTAACACGGATTGATCAATTAAATTTATTATTGAATCATAATTATTAATTATTATTATCACGTAAATTTTCATTAATTCAGAATTAATGTCTATTTTATATGGGTTCTCGATGTTTGATGAAAGAGGTGGGGTATGTTGGATAAGTGGGAATTTCAACAGGTTCTTTACCGGGTTCAGATAAAAATGATTGGGTCTCCATCTTCTATTTTGCTCCTCCTCCTTTTTCGGTAAGTCACGAGTTAATAAATTTGGTTGAGTTTGCTGACCTTTGTTAATTCAGGGCTACATTAACTTTAACATTTTGAATAATTCGTGATTTATCATCATTTACGTTATAACCAACCGTAATCTCTGCTTTTGCGTTAGTGTTCTTTTGACTAGTGAAACGTCTTCTCATTTATAATCGAATAAAAAAAATATATTTAAACTTTTATTTGCTGGAACTTTTGAATCTATTATTCCCTGTATTTGTTCATGAAGTTGATTTTTAGCTGTTTCATCGTAATTAATAGACCTAATATATTCATTAATTGCATTCTTATAATCATCTGATTTCTCAAATTTTCTTTTATCTGATTCCTTAACTAAATCATAAGTTAACCTCGTTGCTGATATAATGGTTTCTTAATTAAATCTCTTGAATGCTTGAGATAAAGCACATGATGCAATTCTTGCTACTATAATTGGTTGGAATTGCTGTTTAAGTTCATCTTTAACATTTGCGAAAACTGGATCGAATAAAGCAACTTTAAAGAATTTCTTAGCTGAAATTTCAGGTCTAATATTTGCATATTGACCATCAAACTGGTTAGAATATCGTGGTAATCCATCCGGTCCCTCTTCAACAGCATTTAATTCTTCATTGAAATAAGAATATGGATTATGACGGTATGAATTAATTGGACCATTTTCACCTTCTCCAATGTATTGTTTAACAGCTTTTCCATTTTCATCAAATTGCATAGGATAACGTTCATTATATGCTTTACGTTTAGGATAATCAGTTATAGTTAATTTATAACCATTTATGACTTTAATATAGGGTGTCCAAAGGTGCGTTTAGCACAGCGCTCTATATGAGACTATTAAAGGAGATATATGCTGATTATAAATATATAATAAAAAATATGAATATATTTATATGATGAGTATGTTGTATTTTGGCGCCATGCCGGTATATAAAATGAATTTTGAGACAAGAGGCGGTTTCGCGGGAAATTTTGGCAGGATTTTTTTCATTTTTTTAATGAATCATAAAGAAAACATCCTCGCTCTTGCAAAAAAATGCAAAGACTGTAAAAAAATCTACGAGACATTGGTAAAATGCTTCGGTATGGATGCTCCTAGCTATTCCACTGTAACGTATCATGTTAGGATGTATCACTTCATGAACAAAAAGGCGCCCATCATAAAAATTGACAAAAAATCGCCGGATCAAAGAAAAATCAAAGCAATTCTTCAAGCGCTAGATGAAGACCCAAGAGCATCACTCAGAAGGATAGAGGAGATGACAAAGATACCACGTACAACAGTCAGTTATTATCTGCACAATTATTTGAACTACAAACTAGCGTATACACGTTGGGTTCCGCACAACCTTAATTCAGTTCAAAAAAAATCTAGAGTCCAATCTTCGAAAGAGCTCCTCTCTATATTGGGTGCGTATCAATCCAAGAAGTTTCGCTTTTTAGTAACAGGGGACGAGTCTTGGTTTCAATATGCAACAGAAGCCAAAATCATGTGGATCCCGAAGGATGAAAATCCGCAAACATTCCCGAAGAAAAAATTGACACACCAATGATGATGTTGTCGGTTTTTTGGGGCGTGAATGGCATCATCGCAATTGATATTCTTCAAAAACCTAATACGATGAATGCTCAGTATCTAATTGACAATGTTCTTACTCAAATTATCATTCTGATGAGTTTGAGAAATCCAAACAACAAAAACAAAAGTTTGCAATTCATTTTGATAATTCAAGAGTTCACAAAAGTCATAAGGTAATGAATTACTTGGTGGAAAACAATGTCAAAGTTGTTCCAAACCCAATTTATTCACCTGATATTGCACCCTCTGACTTTTATTTATTCGGCACGCTAAAAAAGAGAGCTGAAGGACGCGAATTCGCGAGTCCAGATGATCTTGAAAATTTTGCAAGAGAGCAATTTGAGCAATTTTCTCATGATGATTTAAAGCGTGTCTTTCAAGCCTGGATCGATCGCTGCGAACGCGTGATTGAATCCAATGGTGATTATATTTAAATAAACTTTATATATATGTAACTTGTTTATTTCTATTCGCAGTATTCAGGTTTGTGCTAAACACACCTTTGGACACCCTATATTACCTTGACCATCAGTAACGAAAACTTCATTTATACCATCAGGTTTTCCATTTGGACCCGTAATGTCTGCTTCGTGTGCTTCCCAATTTGGACAATGACGTTTGGCATATGCTTGAGCTTCTGGTAATGTTAAAACGTTTCTCATTTGTTTAACATCTTTTTGAAGACCAGCAACAATATGAACTAATTCTTTCATTCCATCAGGAACTTTCATAGTTCTATTATATGCACCCTTTTTGTTTGTCCCTTGTTTTAATGGAACCTGTAGAAGATTTGCTATTTCTGTCATGTTTAATTATAAATAAAAAATAAAAATTAATTATAAAAAGTTAATCAAATTTAACACTTCCTTTATTTAAATCAACTATTATTTTTCCATGTTCACCTAATTGCTGATATTGTGTGTAAAGTTCATTAATGCTCATTGGTAGATTCACTTGATAAAGCATAACGTTCAACTGTTGACGACTAAACCCACTGAAAATGAAAAGTGTTGATAGATTTGATTTAATGTTTGTGCTTAATGCTTTGAAGTATTGAACAGCCATAAAGAATGAACACTGAATGTGTCGACATTGAGTTAATAATTGATTAAAATATGATTTCTCATTTGTTATTAGTTTTGATTTCACTGCATCATCTAGAAAAATGAGTGAATGCAAAAATTCTCTATCAAAATTTGAAATAGAAAGTGTTTCAAATAATTCATCCCGTTGTTTATCAATAATTTTATCCTCTAATCCTTGCTTCTTGATTGTATTATATAATTCTTTATACATTAAAAAGTTTTTTAAATAATCTTCTGCTTCTTCTTGTGATAAATAAATAATTGGAATTTTGATTAAATGCTTTAAAGATTCAAATGTATCATCTGAAGGTGAACCTGAACGGTTGATATAAATTAACACATGTGAATGGGGGGAAGTGTTAGCAATAATGATAATTTGTTTTAATATCGTTAATGTTTTACCTTTATTCTGTTTACCAATTGCTGCAGTGATTGAATTTAAGTAACATTCAGAATATGGAATTTTCATTAATTTTTCCTTAGATAGAGCATTTCTATTATCACTCAATGCTTCATTAATCATATCATCTACGTATGTATTATATACTCCTGCTAATTCTTCATAAGGGGTGGATGAATTTAAATCCATTTAATCAAAATAAATTTATAATTTTAAACATTTCTATTCATCAATATTTCATCATATGAACTTCTATACTGTGGTGGTGTACCTGTTGGATGATATTTCAAACCTTCGTCCGGTGTCCATGTCCAATATGTAGTCCTAGTAAACCAAACCCGAGGAGGATTTGTCACCTTTGAACAGTAAGTGTCATTTTCACCCTGAATGATTGGATAAGCTTTCACTTGTACTGTAACTTGTGAGTTGAAAGTTTCTAATCCATCAAAGAATATACCCACCCCATCACGTTGAACCGGAATAGTGCATAAGAATGAAGTTTGGTCTTTCCATGTTCTAGCTAATGGCGTGCCATTATCATCATTCAGTGGTCTAGTTAATGAGTCCTCGTATTCTTCTGTGCATTCATTCACTCCATCTAAATCAGAAGCTTGAAGCATGCGTGTAAAGAATATGTCGCCCACTGTGGACATCGCTTGATCGGGGAAGTTTCTGGAATCTATAGTGACCTGAAGACCTCGAAGCATTGGATTTTCTAAAACCGTTCTTTGCATTGCATTCTTCGGAAATGTTAACACAACATCTGTAACATTATGAAGAGCGTATGAGAAATCTGAGCTGATACCTTCGGGAGTGATGCAACCTCCATTTAGTGAACGAACGTCAATATGTTGAGCTGGAATCATGAATGGATCTTCCTTACTGAATAAACGTGGTATTGCTTTAACTGATTCTTCAATTAAACCGTATCCTGGTGTAATGCATTTATCCTCTAAAACTTCCATCTTTGTGCATGAAATAATAACGTCATCAACTGTTGCGTCAGCAGATGTAGCGGCTAAGCTTGTAATTAATTTGGCAGGAAGTCCGATTTGTTGGAATTTGCGATCATGTTTATAAATATGATTCATAATCTTTTCATAATTTTCATCAGTTATCTTTTCATAAACGTAATTTTGTAAATCAGCAACTCTTAACGGGTCAACCTGACAAAATACTAAAGTATCCCTGAAAACATAATATTTAAGAATGATATCACCAAATGATTTAGGATAATCATCGAACGCCTGAAATGCTAACGAATCATTTACCGGAATAATCATATCAAAAGTGATATCACTTCTTCATTTGCTCTCTTGAAAACTTCTGAAGGGTCAATATATTTACCACATACTGAGTTATCATATTTTGAACATTATTATATAACGAATGAACAAACTTTTTAACTTTCCTTTCTGATTTTGGTTTATATGTTGCAAATGCGAAAGATTCACGGGCGCAATCCATCTGAAGATAACCGGCATCACCTCTTTCGGTTTCTACTTTCTAATTGTTTAAAGCTTTGATTGATGATTTGTAACCAACGAATAAACGCATGCATTTAAAAGCGGCATCGCATGTGAAAGCTTTATTTGAAACTAGAGTTGCTTTAACTTTGCGTTTAATATATGTGTCACCTAATTGGTTCACATCATGAGCCGGTTTGTAATTCTTAAATGAGTTTGTTTATCATCAAAATATGGAGCATCAGAGTCATAGCATGAACTTTCAAGTTCTCTATAATTTCTACCGTCATTCTTTGCGAATATTTTCATTTATCTTTTCGAATGAATGAAACACATTTCCATTAATCGGTTTAGTGTTTGGCACCAAATAGTTAGTCGTCATTTATTAATAAATAAAAAATCAAATTAAAAGATGAAAATGAATTTTTAATTTTAATGAAATAATCAACTATGGCTGCAGGTATATTTAAGAAACTGTGGGATAAAGTAAAAAGAGGAGCGCATAAAGTTTGGGAAACATTGAAGAAGGGAGCAAATTGGATATTTAAGAATAAAGAAGCAATTAGTGACATTGCTGAATCAATAACACCAAAAGCTGCCCCAATAAGAGAAGTTTTAAATAAAGGAGAAAAAGTTTATCAAAGACTACAACCGATACTAAGATATAAAATAATATTTATTTATTTTTCCACTATCTACCTCCTATATTTATTAAGTATTCCTTCAGCAATTCCACCAATTGCGTTACCTGCTTGTGCTCCCATCGCCGGATTACCTGCTCTTTAGTACCTAATACTCCACCTATGATATTTCCTGCCGTTTTCGCTACTGGTGCCAAAAAGTTTGCAACGGGTTTAATAATCTTTTTATGAACCAACCTGCAGCTTTCTTAATTCCATCCCATAATTTTTTTAAAGAATCCTGCCGCCATTTCTGATTTAATATTAATTAAAAAATATATTTCATCACTTATATTCTAATTTTTATTTAATATTAAATGAAACCGATTTTAAAAATAAATGAAACAGAGGAGGAAGAAATAAATGAAAGTGAAAATGTTCAACAAAAAATAAACGTTGTTAAACCAATTACTGAAATAAAAATTTTTTCATCTGTTGAAGAATTTAATGACTATTATGCTAACAATAAAAAATTATTTGAAGAATTGACAACGTGTAAATTGAATAAAATGTTTAAAGTTGATGGATTCAAAATTTCAAAAATAAAAGGAGTGGTTAGTTTGAAATCTATTCCTCAATCAAGAATCACCTCATTAATGAAAATAGATGATTTAACAAAAAGAATAGAAGAGATTGAAGAAAGAGTAAATCAGATAATTGATTTCATAAATTCAAATAATCATTAGTTTCTTAAAGTTCTATGTTGATTCTGAGACATAATTTTTAAAGTTTATGACTTCATTAGCTTATTTTGGCTTTCATATTCATTTAATAATTCACAATCTTCATTTTTAAATTGAAGTTTAACCCATTCAGGATTTAAACAATGTTTAATTAATCGCGGAATATCTGACATCATCTATATATATAGCTTCTTTTATAAAAGATAAAATAAATTATTTTAAAATTAATGTTAATTTTTTAATATTTTTATTTTTTATTTCATTATGTATGGGCTGAGTGTAAATGTCTTACATTTTAAAAATTTTTTAAATCTTGATTTATTCAAAAACGTAAGAATAAAAACCGTAAGAATCATACATTTTTTACTTCATATGTTAAAAAAAATGATACAAAATCGCTCGATATTATATGAATTCTTACGTTTACAAAAAAAGTCACACAACCCATCCTATCCTACTACTTTGATTAAAAATAGTTTTAGTTTTGAATAAATTGAATTTAAAATAAGTGTAGTGATAAGTTGTACTAGTTGGACATATGATTCACTCAAGAAAATGATTGAATTCAAATTTGAATAATCTTATATAATTGTAAACAATGATTTTAAATCCAAAAATGCATATTGAATTCGCATCCCTGTTATGGTATACAGTTTATTTTCGAAAATTTCATATTTGAACAAATTTTCTATTGCTTGGCAAAAATAATTCGAAAAATAGGCATATACCATATCGTCATCATTATCATTGAACAAAAAAAATTCATTGAAAATTTTGAAAGGTTCAATTTCGGTGATGGAATCTTACGACGCACAATTTATTCAATTTAATGAACTCACCGCCGAATTTCACAAATTCCTCGATACTGAAGAGAATCTTATATTACACACAAAATCTCTCATAGATATTTTAGAATATTGCTGCGATAATTACAATAGTTTCCTTGCAAACACATCGCAAGTGATGTTCCAGAGCTTGACTAAATCAGTATTAGTGTTTTCAGAAAATTCTTCTAATACAGAGATCTTCAATTCTCAATATCAGCGCTTGTTAGATATTTATGCCGAAATATCAGCTCAAATCATTCTCATGATCAAAAGGATACATAAGACACTGGTTCCTCAAATCAAAGATGCCGTACGAGAAGAACTTGACGTTTTTGAAGATTGTAAAGAAAGAGTAAGTGAAATTGAGAAGAACTATCTGAACAGAAAGACATCTATTAACAATAACGTCTCAATGCTAAAAGGAATCGCCAAAGATATTGCTTCTGCCAAGAAGAAAAATGATGTTTTCAAATTAACTCCTCTTGTTAAGAGTTATGTTCAAATATACAAGTCCACTAAGGTTATTTCTCGTAATCTGAACCTGTTCATCCTCAAATACAACAAAGAAGTCCAAAAAGCAACGGAAGCTTTCAAAAATTTGGACACAAAGAGGTCGCAGATCATTCTAAACTTCATATTAGACATATCTACAGAATACGAAGACTCTTTCAAGAACTATACGAGCGTTTACAAGGCAATTACTGAAAAATACTCAAAACCACAGAATGTTTTAACCGGAGAAGACTATGTAAAGTGGTTCATCCATGAAAAGAACTTATTCCGGACCATGCTTAGCGATGCCGTATACAAATCTACCGGATTCCAGTTTGAAGAAGACCCGGACATTCTGATCAGGTCATCTCACATTGAAGCCGCACCAACAGACTACCCGATATACGTAGCCAAGGCCAAATATAAGTTTGACAGCAAAGGACAAACAGAATTATCGTTTTTACCAGGAGATACGCTTTATTTATACGAAAAACCATCTCAGATGTGGATTCTTGCATCTAAGAATGGTCAGTATCCTCAGGGATACATTCCTTCTTCGGCCATTACAATACTTGAAAAGAAATTCTGTTATTCGCTTGTTTCTAAGGCATATGACAACGACTACCTCGGAATAGCTCCTGGAATGTGTCTAGTAATTGAAAATAATTTAGGTGATACTTATATTTGCACAAATCCTCAAGGGAAACAAGGAAAAGTCAAGAAATCAGATGTTGTTATTTGCTAACAGCATTTTGTTATTTCTAATCATGTGTTTAATTTACAATGAGTTATTTGTTTATAAAAAATTTATTTTCATAACAAACCATATTATAAAGATATGTGTTGAATATCTGATTTTACACAAATGAGAATCCAACTCACTTACAGAATACAGAAAATGAAGCTATACAATGGAATTTTTTGTAATGCATGAAAAATAGCGTGACTTCATTTTTGACAGTTTACAAATGTAAAGTGTTGCATCCTTAAAAACTTGGAAATATATACATTCATGAATTATCTTGTATATTAATTGAAAATCCATAAAACCCTAACAATATTTTTTCTTAAAAAAAACTATAAAAATATAAATAAAATTAATCGTTAAATAAAAATATTTGATATTAGAATTTTATTGGAAAAATAAAAAACTTAATATTTTAAAGAAATACTTAAATACTTGAATGTTTTAACTTTTACATTATCATATAGACTCTCAAATTATTGATTGGAAACGGTTTGAGGGTTATCAATTTAAAAAAATTGTGAGTTTTTTAGATTTTTGGCAATGTTAAACGGTTAATTTTTTCTAAAAAAAATTATTTCGAATTTCCGAAATTTTTGACATTTTGGCTGAGAACTATGGTCTGCGAGGTACATAGATAGAATCAGTACCTCGCAGACTATAGTTCTCTATATGGCGCCGAAAATTTTTGGTGAAATGTCGTCGCATTTCACCAAAAATTTTTCGGCGCCATAGGAAGAATTGGAGGGTGTGAGATACTATTACATGCTATAGTACTCACACCCTCCAACTCCCAATCAAAATCGCATAAAATTTGCTACTTATCTTCAGATTACCTCCCATTATAAAATATATCATTGCTATCTCATCGTACTATATTTCCACCCTATTGTATTTAAAAATATAAAATTTTTTGATAATATATTTTTATATCTTGAATTTTCAAACAATATATTCACAGATAATATAATGGGAAATCTATCTCAACCTAGCCTTAAAGTACCAAACTCCTGCTTGCATTCTCACTCACAAATATTAAACATCCATCTCCAAAAAACTAAATTCTTCACAATTTTTTTAAAATTGAGAACATAAAAAACGTATGCATTCAATAATTTAAGATACTAACAAATATTAAAAACTTCAAAATATCAGATATTAACGTTTTTCAATTAAAAAAATATCATTTTGCTTTTCAATTCGAACATAAATCTTAAATATTTTTAATTAATATCTGATTTACAGCATTATTATCCATTTATAAATCTGACAAATAAATGACAAAACCATCAGAAATAGTGTCACTTTTTGTCAAAGGTGAAGTCACGCTATTTTTCATGCACAACATACAATGGAATTTTTTAGACAGGCTCCAAATATTTTGACATTCATTTAGATAAATTGTTGTAAACAGAAATTCATCAAAAGTGACACCTCAGAAAAGCTAAAATATTGAATTTTTGGAACTTTTGATAGAGCACGTTTTTAAATATTAATTAAAGTAAATGTATATTTTGTAAAGATTCTTTTTAATAAAAAAATAAAATTTTGAAGAAGAACACAAAATCTTCTGAAAAATAATATCACATAAACTCATATTATTTTCTAATATATAACTATTTTATATAAAAATCAAATTCAATGATCTTAAAAGCGAAGGATAAACCTCAAAATTTACGAATATAATGAGTGGGAATATAATGCTTATCTATCATAAAACCATATGAAATATCAATTTTTGCTTTACGCCTAATTTTTGACGACAATTAGCAAAAAATGTTAAATGTTAACACTCAGTCCATTTGAATATGAAAAATAAAATTGACTTTGATTAAATGTTTTTATTTATCATGCAATTCTTCTTGCGACCAAAGATTTGAATAAAAGTTCAAAAAATAAGATAGCTTAAAAATAATATACGGTAGTGTTTACTAATAGATGAATAGTATATAAATTCTATTAAAATGGATTTGATCCAAAAAAATATAAAACCAAAAATAATTGTTATAATTTAAATGAAGAAGTAATTTAAAACGATTTTATTTATGATCAAATTTTATATATTTTTTTGGATCAAATCCATTTTAATAGAATTTATATACTATTCATCTATTAGTAAACACTACCGTATATTATTTTTTAAGCTATCTTATTTTTGAACTTTTATTCAAATCTTTGGTCGCAAGAAGAATTGCATGATAAATAAAAACATTTAATCAAAGTCAATTTTATTTTTCATATTCAAATGGACTGAGTGTTAACATTTAACATTTTTTGCTAATTGTCGTCAAAAATTAGGCGTAAAGCAAAAATTGATATTTCATATGGTTTTATGATAGATAAGCATTATATTCCCACTCATTATATTCGTAAATTTTGAGGTTTATCCTTCGCGTTTAAGATCATTGAATTTGATTTTTATATAAAATAGTTATATATTAGAAAATAATATGAGTTTATGTGATATTATTTTTCAGAAGATTTCATTCTATATGCCTATGAAAAGTACTCTCAAAACTAACTTTTTCCTAATTATAATTAAATCTAGAATATTGTATTATGCTTAGTATTATTTCATTTTTCTCATTCAATTTAGAATTTACAAATGTCAAAAAATTGAGAGCTGTCACTTTTGATGAATTTCTGTTTATTACAAAATAAGTTAAGGCTCCATGCACATTCCATCATTAACACGGTATTTTGTCGCGTAATCTTTTAACACTTTGCTAAGAAATTATCACGGTATTTTGTCACGTAATCTATTACAATAATCTATATCACATCTGACCAGTATGGTATAATGATTTTACAAGTGATAAAACAAAGAGTAGGTGTAATTTTAGCTAAAAGTGACACGTTTGTAAAAAGTGACACACCCATGAAGGGTGTGATTACCGATCGGTAATTTCGACAGTTTAGAATTTAAAATTTTTTATGTAACTGTTGCGAGTTTCATAAAGAATTTAAGGAATATAAGCAAAGATTTGAATCAAAATCTTAGACCTAAGCCGCTCGATTCGCTCGCGGCTTCCGCGAATTACATATCAGCAAAGATTTGAATCAAAATCTTCGAACTAAGCCGATCGCTTCGCTCGCGGCTTTCTTTATTATTTTAAATTTGCATATTTCCATCAAAAGTTCATAAGGTAAAAAATTTCGTTTATTTTTACTAAGAAAAAAAAGGTTTTTGATAATAAATTTATTTTATTTCGAAAAAATAGCAATAATCGTAAAAGGGTATTGATAGGCTTGCTAAAGTAACTAATTTTAGCTGTCAAATACTTTTGTATTTTGAAGTAAATTAGTATAAATTTGTTTTTACTTTTATTTCGAAAAAGTAACAATAATCGTAAAAGGGTATTGATAGTCTTGCTAAAGTAACTAATTTTAGCTGTCAAATACTTTTGTATTTTGAAGTAAATTAGTATAAATTTGTTTTTACTTTTATTTCGAAAAAGTAACAATAATCGTAAAAGGGTATTGATAGGCTTGCTAAAGTAACTAATTTTAGCTGTCAAATACTTTTGTATTTTGAAGTAAATTAGTATAAATTTGTTTTTACTTTTATTTCGAAAAAGTAACAATAATCGTAAAAGGGTATTGATAGTCTTGCTAAAGTAACTAATTTTAGCTGTCAAATACTTTTGTATTTTGAAGTAAATTAGTATAAATTTGTTTTTACTTTTATTTCGAAAAAGTAACAATAATCGTAAAAGGGTATTGATAGGCTTGCTAAAGTAACTAATTTTAGCTGTCAAATACTTTTGTATTTTGAAGTAAATTAGTATAAATTTGATATTATTTTAACTCCCTTTGAAAACCTCAATTTTCCATACAGAGGGAACGGGAATAGCATCCAATATTCCCTGAGAATGGTTGCGCATTCTCAGTTCCCTCTATATTTCGAACGAAGCTCTCATCGGTCTTTTTTTTAATACTAAACGTTTTTTTCCCCTGTCACTTTTAGCTAAAATTTGGGTTTGCCTAAAACAAAGACAGTTTCTTATTAGTATTGAATTCATCCTCCAAAATTTCTGACAATTACATTTTTATCAAAGTTTGTTATTCACGGTACAATTTTACATATTCCAAAAATTTTCGTATAAAAATTTTGAGAAGGAATTTAGAAGGTGATATAAAATTTCACTTCATTGAAAAAAAAAATGTTTAGCGAAAAGGCACCATTTGGAGTTCCCAACCTTTATAACGCAAATCTTAGATTGGAACTAAAGAAAATCATTGCAGGCAAAACATTTATTGTTACACCTGATGAAAATCGCAGAATTTTGGATAATGTTATTTCCCCACGCGATTCATTTCGTGTAATTTCAGCAATTTTAATGCTAATCGACGAAAATGCTTCTTATTCATTACCAGTATTCAAATTACTTGTGATTTTAATGAATGGCTTGCACCAAAACAGATTCGAATTCGTTGAGGCGGCCAAAACATTTTCACAAGAAATTAGAACTATTTTATTCTTGAATTTCAACGATGCAGCCGATAATTATCGCGAACAAATTCATTACATGGTCCAAGCAATGTACCACTTCCTTGTTTATCAAACTGCTCTTCCATCAGTTGAATCTTGCACAAAAGCGTCTCAACTTCAACAACCTCCAACAACTCCACCAAATTCTACAGGTGGCTTCGAATTTCCAGAAGAAGATGATGAAGAGCTTCCATTTGATCTTAAGTCAATGTCAAATGACAGATCAATTAAGAATTCCTTCAATCCTTTCACAAGCAATCACGATTTAATCGCTTTCGCCCAGCCACAGCCAGAACCAGAGCAGCAACCAATTGCTCCAGTACCTGAAATTACGCCAGAGGAAAATATTGACCAACTTCTAATTAATTCCATCAAAATCAGCGAGGAACCACCTTCTCCTGCTGCAGAAGGACTTAACAATCCAAGAGATTTATACTTAGTTAGTGAATTCCAGCTGGAAAAGAAACCTCAGTACGATGATACCATTGAAAGTTATTAAACATTCAATTTACATTATTTTTTTTTTACATGATAACTCGTTTTTACAAGCAATTCGATATAAACATTTAAAAAAAGGGTAATTATTTTCATCAAAAAAATAAACAGAAATTTTATTACATTAATATGATTACGAGTAGTTTCCAATTATCTCAAACTTCGGAATACATGCTTTATCGGGTCCAATCAAGGTCATATTGAAAAGACTTCCTGTTTCTTGGTTTATAGGAATTCTGACATTGGAGCCATGATTCACATTATATTTCTTATTACTAATCTCGATTTGTTTTGCAATTTCGGGAACATCTTGAATATTTGGGAAATATAATTCTCTAATGTGAGATGGCTTATTGATATTTATTTGACATGTCGGATATTTTGAAGGAACACACCATTTGGAGTCTTCTTGTGGTGTTGATATATGCTTTCTGTAAGAATTAAATTTATCTAAACCTTTTTCTCCAGGATAACATGTAATTGTATATGGAACACGATATGAGTAGTCTTTGAATCCGAAATTTTCATTGGAAATTCTTTCAAATCTTTCCGATATTCTGTTAATTTTGTCTAAAAGTTGTTGATCGTATTGATTTTGTAGATTCTGCTCCTGAATACGCTTCTGTTCTTCCAATTTCTTCCTTTGCTCTTCTTTTTCTTTTCTTATTCTTTCTTCTTCGACTCTTCGTTTTTCTTCCTCTTTCTTTCTCGTTTCAGCTTCTAATTCGAGTTTCTCTTTTTCGCTTTGCGTTTCTTTGTCATTTTCTTCTTTAGTTTTAACCTCCTTTATATTTGAATTTGAATTATCTTGCGTTCTGGGAATATCAAATTTTGAGTTTTTGTTAAAATACTCATTAACTGAAACATTTTGATTTGGAATAAATTTTCTGAGGAATTTTACTATGTGAGCTAAGATTAATGCTACTTTATTGTACTGTATATTATCAAATAACTCGAGTTTTACATTTCCGGAGAGATCATTCACTTTAAAGTATAGTTCTGTGGCAGTAAGGAACATAATTACTGGAATTATTATCCAAAATATCAGGAAATTCTTGGAAATCATCATGAAAATAAACCTCACAATTCACTCAAATTTTTAGGCAGACCCAAATAAGAATTCAAGTTTATAAATTCTTACTTATTTTTGTTTACGCGCGTTAGATAATGCATGTATGGTTATGGAATTTAAATTAAAACATATGAACTATCTCAAGCAATTCCAGAATTCCCTAAATACATAATTGAATTTTTAATGATCTCTAATGATTCGTATTACAGATGGTTTTGACTTTCAACTATCAATACATATCAAATAGGAATTCCTTTTTGAATTTATTTTTCATATGAAGCAAATATTTGCGAATTATTTCACGCAGATAGTTAGTTTATGGATGAATTCTATGAGTAATGCTCAAGTTATGTGATTGTTGTTGCACTATTGTTAATTTCTCAAGTTTAGTAAATGATAAATTTATCAAAATCATTTTAAGCAGTTGTAAAGGAAGGGGTGATCTTCAATATTTTCTTACATCTTCAATGTAATTAATTATTCAAGTGCTCCATTGTTAATGGATTCAGATATTATTGAGTCAACTTGTGTGAATTTTAGAATAAATGTTTGGAAAATAGTATGTTAATCGGAATGTTCATTCATTTTATCTTCGAGATTGTTCATAACACATTATTTGAACATATGGAATTTCCTTTCGAACCTTTGTCTGTTTGAAAATATTCATCTTTCCAGAATCTTTATATAGGTTTAATCCGGGAGCAAAGTCCCCGTCATTAAATGGTAGGTTAGTTCTCTTTTCAATTCCATCTTTCCACTTTCCATTTTCAACAACATACATAATCTCATGTAGTCCTTCTTCAAAATGCTCCATCGTTACAGCTAACAAATTTGGTTCATTCACCCCATACAAATAAATACCAAGTTCTAGAGCACAAGAAATAGCAGGAGTGTCAGGGATATAACGTGTTAAAAATAAAACATATGTGTTATTTTGCATAAACAGGCAATTAAAACACGAAGATCCAGCAGCAGATATATATAAATTTGATGCAGCTAATATCTTACAACAAAATGAAATATTATAAAACACATCTGAATGATACTGAACCCAATAATATTTAGGATAGAGTTGTTTTGCCCTTTCAAATAACTGATCCATATTACCAATACAACCCCAATTTCCTTTTTCTTTATTAATTGCTGTATAATACTCAGGTTTTATCCGACTCAAATTATATTTATCGTAAATCATATTATAGAGTTCGATCCATGCTCGAAACATACCATTAACTCCTTTTTTGCTTACTGTACAATGAACATCGATTCCATGAACCCATTGCTTACTCAGCTGATGAACTCTATTTCGTTCAAAGCCAAGAAATTCAAAAAAAATTTGGGCTTTTTTCTCATTAAAATTGACAAATATAGTAGCATCTTTTAAGATTTCTTCCGGCATTGTAATTATCGGACAAAGCATATCGTGCAGAAAATGGCCATATTCAAGATGGTAAGAAAATCCCAAAACAATTTTTTTGTATATTTGCAATGAGTGATTTACTCTTTCGGTTTATGGATATCCACAGTAGGATTGAGTTACATGGCAAAAATATGTAGGAAAAAATACACCATAGATACTAAAGACTCTACAATAAATTAATAAATAAACGTTGAAAGTATAGTATTTAATGGATAAATCTGAAATTATGAATATTGAAACGGCTACAATAGCACTAACACCAGATACTGTAAACAATGATTTAGAGAGTGATAAAAAACTTGAAATTTTCATTACAAACTTCAAGATTAAAAAAATAGCAACGACACTTTTTACGGGCTTATATAAAGGTCCGAATAGTATCAATCAACTATTAATATATATATATATTCACTTTTTAATCGTCGTCTCTCCTCTCAAAAAGTGACTAAAACATTTTGAAAATATGAAATTGTTCAAATTTTCAGAACTTTCATAGAATATTAGAAAAGTGGATGTGATCAAATAAATTATTTGCATTTTGGATGAAGTCCGTCTAAATGATTATATTAAAAAAAAAAAAAAAAAAAAAAATGGTAGTGGGGCTTCCAGGCACTTCGTGCCTTCTAGCCCTGAAGATGTTTAGTATAAATGAAGTTCTTATATACGGGTCTTCCAGGAGCTTTTCACAAATTATATATGTTTTCATGTTTTGTCAAGACTTCTTCGTAAAATCAGACAAAAATAATGTTTAGGGTAGAAGGTTAGATATAACCTCTTTTCTAACCTCTTTTCTACCCTCTTGAATTTTCAAGACTTCTTCGTACATGTTTTGTCACTTTTCTGTCACTTTTCAGGAAAAAACATTTTTATTGTATATAAAATGAATTTTACAAAACCACCGTTACCCTTCTTTGGAAATAAGAGTAGATGTAAAGATATTCTATTGAGAGAACTTAAGAAACTACCGAATGGTCTAACATTTGTAGACTTGTTCGGTGGAAGTTTCTATATATCTCATTTGTGCCATACAATATTTCCTGACTCAAAGATTATATGCAATGACTTCGACAACTATATGAACCGTCTCAAACATATACCAGACACAAACAAAATATTGAAAGAGTTAAAAGAAAAGATACCTATAGGTAAGATGGAACGTATACCATTAGATAACAAAAATACTGTCAGAGAGGTTTTGAAAAAGGCAGAATATATAGACTGGGATAGTATATCTGCTAGACTATTATATAGTGGTGCTATAAGAGTTCATGACATTGAAACACTTATGTCAAAAGTTTTATATCTTAACTATACAAATGTTTTCAAAGAGGACATAGAAAAATATATTGAGGGTATAGAGTTTGTGAGATGTCATTGGACAGAGTTGTATGAAAAATATAAAGACAAGGAAAATGTTTTCTTTATAGTGGACCCGCCGTTCTTTAACACATGGGATTTTCAATACCAAGTAGACTGGACTTTGAGAGACTCTTTAGAAACTTTAGACGTTTTACATAACCATCCATGCTTTTACTTTACATCCGATAAAAGTGGTTTGGAAACCGTTATGAGATGGTTAGAGGACATACATGACTATGAGTTTATATATGACAAGATAGAATATGAGAGAGGTCCTATAAACTGGAGAAAGTGTCATAACAAAGAAATTTTACTAGTAAGTAAATGTGGTTTGAAATAGGACTACTTGTTTTAGGTTTTTTCCATTGTGTCATTTATTTATTTGACGTGGCAGAAAGATATAGAGAATATGAAGATGAACCAATGCCTGCAAATGTTCAGTATATGTACTCGTAAGAGATATTTTTATCTAATATTAAATGGACGCACAGAACTTAGCGAATGCACAGCAACCTGGACAACCAAACCCAGAGAATATTCCAAATGAAGTTAGAATACAAACTGCAATGGCAAACTATGGTCAAGTGCCAACAGATGTACAAATGCAAACTGCCATGTCAAATGACGCTGCGTTAGGTTTGCCACCATGGTATGCAAATATGAGATGGAAAGAGTTTTATACAAACCCTGAAGTGGGATATAAACAACTTTATGCAGATGACGCGAACACAGGAGTTGACCCAGAATATGTTTTCTACCAGAGGAGAAACAGAATGTATGAGCTCCAGTTAAAGAATGCTATGGAACTCAACAGGAAACGTAAGAGACTAGGCGGACATTAGATTTTTACATATAGTAAAATGGGTTTCTTTGGAAGAATAGGAAACTTCTTTCGAAATGTTGGAAGAGGTATATGGAATGGAATAAAATCTGTCGGAAGAGGAATTTGGAACGGAGTCAAAAATATTGGTAAAAGAGTAGGTCAGTTTGTTGGTATTATACCTAAAGACCCTGAACCAGAAGAACAAGCTCCTGTTATACAACAGCCTGAACCTGCACCACAGTCTAGTTGGCAACCTCAACCGTATTAAAAAATTATATTTTTACCGTTCGATAGTAGTTGTATATGAAACTAAGTTCTAAGTAAAACGCATGGTATAATGGAATTATTCTTTTTCTTCCATCTGTAGTAAACCATACTTGAAAGTCTGAAATACTTCCACTCGGCGGTTCATATAACTTTGTAGGTTTTTCGTAAAAGTCATTTGCCAAGCATAAGAAAGAGTTTTGGGCGCCAGAAAATGAAGCATGAACAATAATAGCAGCTGGGTCGAAAACATCTTTAAATAAATATGGTTCATCTCTTGCATATCGACTGTAAATATTTGCTAAAGGAAGTTCGACTTTCTGATTTAACATTCTTTGCAAATAATACCATGACATTGCAGTGAATTCTGTATATATTTGTTCGTCTTTCTTTGGATTGTCTTCGTAGATTTGAAATGACACTTGTGAATTTTGTTTGTCATATACAATTCTCACATAAAGTGTGCTCTCGGTATTTGCATATTCATCAGCATATTTTGCATAACATGAATTTATTTTATCTTCTATATTTTTTAACGCAGTCTGTAGAGAAGATGAAAGGTCAACTTGTATTAGCTCAATTTCTTCCCACATTTTTCGTTTCCCTTCAGATATATAATCTATATGAAACCTTACAATAAATGGGAAACTTTTATCTTCTACAGACACAAATTTTATTCTACGAAAGCCAATAGCTTTTGTGACAGATGGGTCTCTTAGCCATCTCAATGGGTAGTCAAAACGATAGCCTTCATGCTTTACGGTCTCTGTCTCAAACTTTTGACCGACATTCGTAAAAAGTTCATCTAATGGTTTAGTTGTAGCAACTCTTGAATTTTCTTTTTCTATTGAAAGCATATTTTATCTATAATAAAAATGTCAAATGAAACAGCGTCTATGAGAGAAATACAACACAACCGACAACTCATTATGCAAGCTCTAAATAAGAACACAACAAACTTTTCAAACTATTCTAAGATATCTGAGTCATTGAAAGAAGGAAACTTAAAACTGACGATAAACCCATTGACAGATGAGTTTCTGTTTCAAGACAGTAAGAACCATACTGTCTGTGTAAATC